ACACAAGGAAAAAGTTGTATGTATATCGTTGTTCTCACAGACGGAGAAAAATAAAATATGTAGCCGGGGCCCGTGTTCCATTTCCCGCGAGAAAAGTCTTTCGAGAGCACTATATCAATTTTCATTTTCAATTTTATCCGGAACGCCGGCCCCGCGTTTCGTAATGTTTTATGTTTTGTTAGTGTTGTGTTACAGTTGCGTTTTGTTTCGTATTTGTTTTTTTTTATCATATTTAGTTCTGTTATCTACGTGGTTTATAGAGCGAAAAGTTGTGAATGCGAACATTGATACGTAGTAAAAATAGTTTGCTTTTCGTTTCCGCGCCGAAAAGTTTTCCGTATGCAACTGGGGAAGTTTTGTTCGTAAGTAGGTAGAGAGGAACTTGATATTTTGTAATTTACATTGTTGTGTTTATTATGTACAAGATATTATTTTCTATTTGAAATTCTTTATTTGAAATGCAATTTCTTTAGTTGATTTATTCTGATGCATTATTTGAGCTTATTTTGAATTGATTTCAAATCAATTGAATGACAATAGACAATAGTTACTAGAACTCAATCCTTCATAATTCCTCAAAAAAAATTTCGATCGAATCTAGTCTCCACAACAACAACAACAATCGGCATGTAAAATCTACATCTAGTATGAAATGTCAAATATTCCTGATACATTTTATACTAGCCAGTTAACTGTCATCATAAATTCTCATCGGGGTTATAAAATATACACTCTATCTACGTACTAACGACGACAGTGGAAAATATCAGAGTGCCCACTACAATGTAACCTTCACAAGAGAGAAAATGATACTTTTCCTGCATCCAAATATTTGTAATAAATATTGATAGCTTTTATTATTGAAGTTCTTGCAGAAAAATCATGGACGATATTTGACGTAAATTATTGTTAAATATATTCTAAATTTATGTCTTCTAAATATAGGAGTTCATGGCTAAAATAAAACATTTTTTTCAATTACTGGATCTGCCTTTGCCAAAAACTATTAGCGCGTCGCCTCGTGGATACAAATCGAATACTTTTTGTGTATATATATATATATATATATATATATATGTCTATATATGAATTATATAATATCTTTCAATTTGTGTATTTATGCGCAAACATACAGAATACGTACGTCAGTAAAGACAACGTATGTAGGAACAATACCAAGCCAGTACTTGCGCAATTAATTAAATAAATAGCAATTGTCTAAGCAAACAATAGGAGAAATATTGTTACCGCCATTAATGAACAAAAATACATTGTTCTCGAAAAAATATTTTCAATTATTTTCATGTGCAACCTCATACAGACATAGATATGGAAAAGTTGCACGATCCCCCGGCACAGGTATTCACATTGAAGTAAAATCAACAAGCCGCCGCGCTGTCACAGGAGCGAGAAATTGAAATTATCGCGATAGTCGAGTTTCGAAAAGTACATATGATATTTTTTTATTTTTGTTTAATTATCGATATGACTAGAGAACTTTGATGAAAGAAAAATATGCGCTAGAGATGAAAACGGCGCTTGCAAGATAGAATATTCGTATATAAATTTACGTTTTTATATAAAAATATATGGGACAGAAAACGTAGGAAAAATCATTCAATAAACGATCCATGTGATATGCAAATATAAAAGAATTTCACTAGTAGTTATGCATTCAATCATACAAATATAATTTTTTTCACCTGATAATTTCGCAGAGGTATCATTTATTTTGTTATGCTGTTTTTATCAATAATATTGAAAAAGGATTCGGCAAATCGTCCTTGGCATTATAAAAGTTATTTTTCACTAGGTAAACGCCCTCGAAGAAATTAATAAAACACACATGATATCTATAAATAATACGTCTTTGAATTAAACTTTGCATAATAAAAATAATTTATGTATATTACTGTATATAATTTAATCAACGTCCTGATCACCTCCTATAAATTAATATAACAGAACCCACCTTTATGAATATTATTATTACATAAACTCCGTAGCTTTATTGTGCACGTGTATTTCATATTCGACGTAGAATTGCAATTATAATTCAGGACAATAGTTATTAGCACCAACGCTGAAAATTACTATAATTAATTTTATAATCTCGGTTTTATAATGAATTGCTTTCTATGTAAAACAATATGACATGGATTCCGTTTAGAATGAATTATTATATTGTTCTGGCATGCTGCTGAGTTTCAATTTATATAGAGAGTTAAATTAACATGTTCGGAAAATTATGAATGTTTTAAACTATGCTTCTGTATTTTGGCGGAAGCTGGGATAATTTATTTATTTTATTTATTTATTTACATATTAGCCCCACAGATTTCTCCAAGAGGACTCAAAAATACAATTATTTGACATAATGAAAAACATTAAAATATACACAAAATTCCAATATATAGTTAGTAACATAAAATGCTAAGATAAAATTTCATATAATGCAGAATTAACAATAATATTATAACAACAAAATAATAAGATATTTGAAAGAAAATAAAAAGATTAACTTGTGCAGATGGAGATTATTTGATTAGGTGATTGTTGTGAATGTCTATTTCATTTTAATTAAGTTAAAGTTAGAGGACATTAGTAAAATTGGCGAATTTAAGAGAGAATTAGATTTAGGGGTTGGATAATTGAAAAATAATTGTGAACGCGAAGATAGCCTTGGAACATTAAAGGATAGTTGATTGAGAATAAAGGACAGTCATAGAATTATTGCAAAGCTTA